GAACTGGAACCGCACATGGACTCAAGCTTTCTCGGATATGGCTTTTGCTCATCAACTCCTCCACTTGCTTTTGCAGCTCCTTAGTCTCTACAGGATTGGTTCAGTATGCTGGCCTGTTAGGTAAGGCTGATCCTGCTACCAAGTCAATCTGATGCTCTATCCCACGAATTGGAGGTAGCCCTGGTGGAATTTTTACTGGAAAAACGTCCTTGTATTCCTGCAAAATCTCAAACATAACACTAGGAAGCTCCTGTGAAGGGTTAGTACTAACAAGGGATTCCTTGTACACAAACATAAAAGTAGTCATTTCATGATCAAAGAGTTTAGAAAATTCACTGTGGTTTATGTAGAGGCTGTTGGCGACTTTCTCCTTCTCCTTGAGCTTCATTTGAATTTGATCTTGATAAATCTCGGTAGGCGTGAGAGGTAGGAGGGTAATTTTGCGACCTTTGAACTCGAATGAGTGCTTGTTGGTGTAACCGTCGTGTATCACCATACGATATGATTGCCACGGTCTGCCTAGCAACACATGACTCGAGCCCATGGGAATGACGTCACATAGAATCTCATCTTCATACTTCCCAATGGATAGAGAAACCATCACTTGCTGAGATACGGTCAAGGCTCCACTGTCATTCAACCACTGAAGCTTATACGGCCCTGGATGAGGAATAGTCTTGAGCTGGAGCTTCTTAACCATCTCTTCGCTTGCAGCATTAGTACAACTTCCTCCATCTATGATCAGGCTACAAACTTTTCCTTGAATGAAGCATCTCGTATGGAACAGGTTCTCTCGCTGACAAGTCTCTTCAGGTTGACTCTGAACACTCAAAGTCCTTCTGGCAACCAGCATCTCGCCCACAGCAGCAGCTTCTTCCTCTTCCTCTAATTCATATTCGGCCTCTGAATCCTCTTGAGGAACTATCTCTCCTCCCTCATGTAACAAGAAAACCTTCTTGTTTGGGCAATCTCGAGAGTAATGTCCCATTCCTTGACATTTGAAACACCTCACATTGCTGATAGAAGTGCCACCTCGAGGCTTGAACTCAGCTTTAGCTTCTTCTTTAACTCCAGTAGAGGGCGGTTTGATGTCTCTGGAGTAAGCTGGCTTGCTGATCTCCTTAGGCTTAGGCACACTAGGCGTGAATGTGGACTTGAAATTTCGCCTCTTGACTTGAGATTCCACCAATTCAGCCTTATGCACCATCTCTTGTATATCTGCGAAATCCTGAAGTTCCACCTTGTCTTGAATCTCTCGGTTAAGTCCTCCAAGAAATCTCGACATTACCATTTCTTCTCCTTCTCGTAAATCTGCACGAATGAGCAAAGTTTCCAATTCCTGATAATAATCTCGAACAGACTTCGTACCTTGGACGAGGCGCCTAAGCTTGTTGAGTATTTCGTGCTGATGATGGGCCGGAACGATCCGCTTCCTCATCTGTATAACGAGCTGATCCCAAGTAGTAATCGGAAGTTCTCTAAGGCGGTTTCTGGTGACTCCCAACTGCTCCCACCATAGAAGCGCATACCCATGAAATTCCGAAACTGCAATCTTCACCTTGTTGAGCTCGTAGGTTCCTTGGACTAGAAAATTAGACTCCATCTTCCTTTCCCAATCTAGGTAAGCTTCGGGATCATTGGTTCCATGGAAAGGAGGATACTGGATTTTGATATGATGCAGCTGCTGACGTAGAGGATCATAATCTCGACCATGTCCTCGGCCTCGATCTCGTCTCACAGTTTCTCGGCTATGATCAAAAGCTTCGTCCTCCTCATAGTATTCTGGGTCTGATTCCAGGGTAACTCGATGCCCAGCAATATATTCCTCTCGGCGGTGCTGACGATCTACCCTTGGGCCATCTCGTTCTGCACCAGTAGGATTCCTCCTCGGATTAAACGTAGTCTCTCTGCCCCCAATTTGGCTTCGGTTGGACTTAGCTTTAGTCCTGGCTTCGGAAGGTGTTGGGTGGCGTGGAAGTTTCCGGGAAGATCCTATGTGCCCTTTACCCTTTGCTAAGCCCATTGCTTCTGAAGGAGTTGGAGTTTGAGACGACTCTTCTCCACTTGCACTGAGGTCTTTGAGCAGATCATTCATCTTCGTCTCGAACTTGTCATTGAGTTGTTCGATTTGTTGTGTGAGCTGAGTTGCTATGGCGTGATTCGCTTCTTTAATTTGTTGAGACATTGCTCGGTTCAGAGCTTCCATCGTTTCAGCCGAAAGCTCCATGGTACCTGAAATTTTTTTAAAAAAACTCGCAATAACTTGTTCTAGAAGAAATCACAAAAACAGCAAAACTAAACTCATCATAAAAAAAAATTAAACGATCCCCACGAAATCTAAAAACAAACTTAACGAAACTAATGAAATTTAACGAAATTTTTTTTTTGTGTACTCTTTTTTTTTTTTTTTTTTTTGTTTTCAACCCTTAAAAAAAAACCAAAAAATCAAGTCTCTTATCAAACCTAAACGAGAAAATCGATGATCAACGAACCCTAGCTAATTCGAAAACTACGAATCCTAACAAACTAAGGACAAAACACGAAGCGATGAACAACGAGTTATCTAGTCTAACTAAATCGCACTATCGAACCCTAACACGATCTCGCAATCGATCTAGGCGAAGACTACACCACACAACGAAAGTACAGCGACACAAAAAGACACTAGTTCGATGCAATCTAACGAGAACGCAGAAGTGAGGCAACGAATTAACTAACAATGATATGATGATTCACTGAAATAGAAGACACACGATGCAAACAAACACCAGAAGTCAACAAGCCCTAATGATCTAAGCAACGAAATCAGAACAAGGAATGAAATCAAGTATGGCGATTTAGGGTTAGAAATTTCTCAGCCTTTGGTTCAGAGTTGGCTCTGATACCACGTGATACGATCCTAGGTGATTAACTCTGAAGCAAAGGGGAACAGATGCAGCGATAAGATGGATAGAAGGAATCGATGAGGCGATGTGGTGGTGGTGGTGATCGGTTCGATGGATCAAGCCGAAGATGATGATGGTGGCGCGGCGGATAGAGTGAGTTGAGAGGGTGGACGTGCTGTGATGAGATGATATCGATGGAATGGAGATGATGAGATAGAAGAATCTCTTGTAAACAGATTAGTTTTTAAGAGATTCGAATTTCAGAGTTTTTAGTTCTCAGAAATCAAAAGAGAGAAGAACACGTTAAAAGTTTGATCAAAATTCTTCACTGAATAATACTTAGGCGATTTTCTCTCTTAAATGGAGTTAGAGAGAAATCGCAGCCCTAATACAAAACTACATGAAGTCTGAAATAAAAACAACACGAAGTTTGATTAAAAAAAATAAAACAGCGAGGCGTCCCTTCTAAATCCTAAGTGGTGCGCCTAAAACAACTAGTGCACAAGTCATTGTGACTTTGCACATTATTACCCATTAGTAACAACTTCTAAGTAACTCGACGTAGCAATGATTTCTGCCTCGTTAAAAACCTTGGAGAAGAACCTCCTTGCCTTCCAAAATCCTCACCAAGGAAAAGAGTACAGAATCATCACCTAAGTTACCTAGTCATTGTTACTGGGTTCTTCATTCTTCAAGATAGAGATATTGAAGATGTGAGCTCCAGCCTCCAGTTGATCGATGTCCTCTGCAGCTATGAGTGCGTGAGCCTCCTTAGCCATCTCTCTAGCTCTAGAACGAGTAATCCTGCCAGCTACCTCTGGTTACTCCTCCTCTGAGCTGGTCACGATCATATCAATTATCGAAAGCATAATTTTATTATGCGGTGTGCAATTCGAATGTTCAGCTGATGCATACAATTTGCATTAGAACAAGATCAAATACAGAGAAAGAAATTAATGGATTTAATGATCCATTTTCTAGTAAGATTTGTTTTAGGAAAGCATTATCAAATTAACTTTTTTATTATATATTTTTTATTTATATGGTACAGATATCTGCTTATATAAATATAATAGTTTGTTTCTGAAAATTCTGTATACTGATTTGTAATTTCACTAGGGATTAACCCGCGCTATAGCGCGAGAGATATATTTTTAATCTTTAATTAATTTAAATAATTTTATGAAAACAGTTATTTTGTAAAAACAATTATTGTTATAAAGTTTACAATAATATAGTGCATATTTTTGTGAATTTTAAATAATGAGTTGATCTGTATATATATATATATATATTATTTTTTTGAATTATAAAAAATGAATTAATCCGTATATAAAGTTATTTTATAAGGGTGTAAAGCAAAATAAGTTGTTTTAAACCCGTTGGCACTAAACAAAAATATTATCTAGGCTATTATATAAAAATTATAATACTATAATCATCAACTTTAATTTAAAAATATATATAATTTAGTAGATTGAATATATTACCTATTTTAAAAAATTAATATTTTGTATTTTGAGATTTTTTTGTGGGTATTAAAAAATTAAAATTATAATCTGTTCATATCGAACTAACCCGTTTACTTAACATATTTGTATTGGATTAAAATTTAATAATTTTTATAAATCATTTCACCACAAACTTTTTTTTATTTAAAAATCAATGTTTCATATCAAATTTTTAGTAAAATAACTAAAAAAGTATTTTTGTATATAATCAATCAAATGTAGCAAATTATTGAAAAAAATACTTCACCATCTTTTTAATATCATAACTTTTAATTTTGACTTTTATAATATTTCTAAAATCAAAAATTTATTTTCACGTTTTTTAATTAAATATACTTTATAATATCATTTGAAAATAAAAATAATAAAAACTATCATATTTTTGAATTTAGAAATTAAATAATAAATATACTCTATTAAATGAGAAATAAAGACTTTCTATATTTTTAGCAATAGAGTTGAAAAACAATTATATCTTTTTTGAAAAAAAAACCATATTGAAATTAGGTTTTATGGGCCTTTTTGTTGGATATTTTAGCCCAATGTCCTATCTCGTTAACTCAGTGTCTTTCACAGCCTATTTTCAAAAAAAAAAAGGGAAATCCTTCGTCGTCATCACTTTTTCTTCTTCTTCTTCTTCTTCTTCTTCTTCTTCTTCTTCTTCTTCTTCTTCTTCACCTCCATTTTCCAGCAATAGGTTTTCAATGGCGCGTAATCGGGTAAAATTTTATCGATTCTTACTTTGTTAGTTTTCTTATCTTCGTGATCTTATCAAGTTTCTTCAGAATTAATTCATGAAATCGATGTTTCCTTCTTTTTTTTTTCGCTTAGTTTCGTCCATGTTCTTCTCCATTCATGCATACTTTCGTGCATGTTCGTCTCCATTCATGCATACTACTTTTCTTCTCAGAGCTTCTTTTTAATATATGGTTATGCTGTTAAATTCGATTTTGACTTCGTTTTTTGTGCATCACCCCTAGTCAATCAACATCGGGGTGTTTAAATATTTGCTAGTGTTCTCGTTTACTGTTGATATCTCGTTTATATTCATCTCCGAAGTGTCCTTTGAGTGATTAGGGTTTGAAAATTTCATAAGACCAGAGCAAATTTTTCATTTCATTTTAGAACTTAGCCCTGTGCTTGATTTTCGGGATACTGAGTGTGTGTGTTCTTCGAAGCAGGAGGGGTTAGTTTTGTTGCTCGATGTAGGCCCAGCGATGCATAGTATACTCCCTGATGTTGAAAAGACATGTTCATTGCTACTGCAAAAGAAGGTAAATGATCTTTCTCATATTCTTCTGAAACCTATTGCTCACATCTTTCTTTTTTTTTTTTTTATGTAATGGAAAGGTGAAGTTTTGAGCTTTTTCTTTTGGGAATTTTCATTATTAGCTTTGGTTTTTGTCTGTTGTTGCAGTTGATTTACAACAAGTATGATGAAGTTGGAATTGTTGTCTTTGGAACTGAAGGTCTCTGTCCCTTCTTATTAATTTAATCTGTTTTTGATCCAAAAGTATGATTGATACTCTTGCCTGAGGCGTGTAATTTGATGCCTTTGATAATGCCTTAGATGTTACGTTTGATTAGTAAATTAGTAATCTATCCTCTGTTTACTCATGTGACCTCTGCAGAAACCGAGAACGAGCTTGCTAGGGACATAGGTGGATATGAGCATGTTGCGGTTTTAAGGAATATTAGAGTTGTTGATGAAGTCGTGGTTGAGAATGTAAAGCGCCTCCCTAGAGGAACCGTAGCTGGCGACTGTATCCTGCTAGCTAATTTTGCTGCTTTGACCATTTTCTTCTGTTTATTTTTGCCTTGGTTCTTTGACTGGTCTCAGTTCTTGATGCTATAATTGTTGGGATGGATATGCTCATAAAGATGTATGGTGCTGCGCAAAAAGGGAAAAAACGGTTGTGTCTTATCACGAATGCAGCATGTCCTACTAAAGATCCATTTGAAGGGACGAAAGATGAGCAAGTCAGCACTATCGCTGTGAAAATGGCTGCAGAGGGTATAAAGATGGAAAGTATTGTTATGAGGGACAATGTAAACGGTGATGTTCATGAGAAAGTAATAGAGGAGAATGATCGTTTGTTGAATTTATTCTCCAGCGACGCGATTGCGAAAACAGTGTATGTTGAGAGTCCACTCTCACTGCTAGGTTCTTTAAAGACAAGGAGAGTTGCTCCAGTTACTTTGTTTAGGGGTGACCTTGAGATTAACCCAACAATGAAGATTAAGGTAACATTTGTGTAGTTGTATCTTTTGCTTGTGTGCAAT